TGAACAGCAGCAGGAAACAGAACCAGTCTTTCGTCTCATGTCAGCGACTTCTCTTCAGGTCAAATGGTATTCGTCGACGAGATTCGGAGAGCAAGATCGTGACAGAATCGGGTCAATGACACCTTCTAACCTCTCAGACACCCCAGGCAAAGTTGTATCATTACTGTAAACCCTCTCTGGTTGTATCATGTATACTGCTTTAATATCGTTCTTTTCTCTCGTAGGCGGATCGTGAATCCGCTGATTTTAAAAAAAGGTGGGTGGTTGGTGGGTGCTCTGGTGTGGTTTGCTTCTTCTTTCCTATCAAACATCTATCGTCCTCATCTCCCCTTCTTTTTTATGTTTGTTACTCTCTTGTAACACCTCTAATCTTCCGGCGCTCATATGACCTTATGCAGTTGCGAGCGTCGTAAAACCTCTACTAAAAGTAAAAAGCTTTAATATCGTCTGAAAAGACGCCAACAGTCAAACTGCACGGAAGGTATCGGCAAGGTATTTACAAACAGATGGTCTTGTGTAACTATTCTCTAAACTGCCAGTGTAAAATCGACTTGTATTTTTTCTTTTAAAAGATAATAATGTTATGTGCTTTTTATGCCCAATCGACACAATTTAGAGCTTCACAGAGTCTGGCTTTGACCCAGCCCGTCTGTGCTGACGTGGGTTGAGTTAGAGAGATAGGAAGTCTCAGGAGAAAAACCCACAAGCTACTCGATAAATATCCTCCCCACTCAGGAATTGAACTCTAGTCCTTTGCATGTGACAGCGAAGCGCCTAACCGCTACACAATACACCTGCAGCATGTGGTAGACATGGCATAGTAAGTGATAGTAGAGAACAATCCCGCCTGTTTTCTTTGGAGGGGCTGTTGCATCAATTTTATGTGAACTACCTTGTCTGCCTAAAGAGCTGTTTTTGCTTCTTCTTTTTTTACATGTATGGTTTTTATGTCATTATCAATACAATTAAGATCATTTAAGGGTCTCGTTTTGATTCCGTCTTTTAATGTTAACCCGGGATGAGAGATACAAAGTGCCAGGAGAAAGACCAAGCTCCTTGATAAAAATCCTCCTAACAATGGAATCAAACTTGGGTCCTCTACTTGCCACAGACGCGAGTTTGATTCCTGCGTGGGAACTTCGTTTTTTTATCTAAAACTTCAGGTACGACCCCCCCCCCCTTTTTTTCCAAAGGGAAAATATACGATGACACTGAGGAATCAGGCGCTCGTCAATTTTTGGGTAAATCTTGAATAAAATTTGAGTTACTTTTGGTTGCAGAAGGTGGAGGTCGCCTTGTGTCCGAGGAAAAATAAACGAGAAAATGACTGCCAAGGTTTGGTGAGTTAAAAAACTTGATTGTCCTTGGAAACTTCAAATGTACATATTTTGTACCTTTGATCATTGTCTTCTAGTAGCCCTTTCCCAAAGGGAGGATATTACAATGTTCTTATGCACAGTAGAATTATAAAAGAGCTAATTTATCAATGTCATACTCATTCTGTGCCGAGACAAAATAGAGGAAACTGCTGCTTTTTCTTTCCTCATCTTTACTATCGTCATTTATTGTCTACTTCTTTTGTATGTTTGTCACTCTCTTGTGACCTGCTATTCCCGGGGTGCCTTGATAGTCGAAGCAGACTTTGTGCTGTTGAGGCTAGAGAGGTGAGCAGAGTCAGCCTGATTCCCTGTTTGGACTTCTCTGTTGACATTCACCCATTGGCGCTCATATGACCTTATACAGTTGCGAGCGCCGTAAAACTTTATCAAAACAAACAAAAACAAAAGACTTCATCAAACAAGTTCCCCAATTGGGCAACGGATTGCCGTCCTCTGCACATAGTGGCGAAGAGACTATCAGTCACTCCCCCCTCCCCACCCCCTTCCACCCACACACACACACACATCAACCTCGTCAGAATGACTTATTTCGGTAAATGTTTCATCAGTTGAATTCTCTCAACACACGGCGCTTTAGATTTCGATTTTGGTTTTGTTTTTCTTTTCTTTTCTTTTGTTCAGATTTTTTTATTTGTTCTTTTTTCGACCTAGAGGGCAGGTCAAGCGTAAGCATCAAGGTCAAGAAGCTTTCACTTACTAAAGCTGGTACTTTTAAGATACAAAATGGACGTTATAAAGCAAACATTTTGGACCAAGGGGAATCATCAGTTCTTTTTAAAATTTCCTTAAAGATTCGTTTTTGCCATAATAAACACAAAATTTACATTACATATAAAGATATGTTGGTGGTGGTGGTTGTAATAATAATAATAATAATAATAATAATAATAATAATAATAATAATAATAATAATAATAAAACAATTATTATAACAATCATCATCATCATCATCATCATCATCATCATCATCATCATCATCATCATCATCATCATCATCATCATCATCATCATCATCATCATCATCATCATCATCAATCGAAGCGTAAAATATTTTCCGACAATTACGCCGACGAATTTTGACACTTGATCTATTGTTTTAAAGTTGGCCTCAGTTCACAGTCGGGTGATTTCTCTCCATCTATCTGTGTCGTTGTTTCCAGCATCCTTAGACCCAGTTTATGCGTTTGACAAATCTGTTCCCCCACACATCCCCACTCACGGGGCTGACTGCCTGTCCCCCCACCTCAACACTTTGACAGCAATACAAAGGTACAAGAAAAGCAATCTAGATCTATAGTGAGATCAAAAATGCGTGACACAACTTATTGTAAAACATCTCCTCTTCTATCGAACATAGTTCTCCAATTTTTGCTCAAAGACTTGTATCAATTTGTCTTAACAGATCAACAGTTTTGTAAACATCTGCTATCTGTATTGTAGAAAATTCCTTAATAAATACTAATTTTAAAAATTCAAGGGAGTGGTTTCTACATATTTTTAATGTTTTCAGCTGGGGCAACATTGCTTTTAATAGTAAGTTCGTCATGTTTTTGTAATCGGAACATTATGCTTATTGAACACATGTTTTAAGAACCCTTAAGGCAAAAAATATGTTCCCTCTGAAATTAATTTTCCTGTATGTAACAGGTTTAGCCACAAAAAATTGTCATTGATGAGCTGTGACGTAGGTCATATGCGTAATCAAAACGTGTGTGATAAGCGGGAAGTGCTGTGAACAATCTCATTTTACATGTGATTTCAAGTATTTTATATACATTTATAAATAAAAGTTTTTCAATCTAGCATCCATTTTTCTTTTAAAATATATGATTTAGTTAAGGCAAATTTATAAAACTACTGCACAAAGTATGGATGGCATTGATTCTCCCGTTAAAGATATATTTGAGGATAAAGTGCGCCACTAGGTTTTGACCGCACTATAGAACAACCACTTAGACAATAACTTAGACTCCTTTCACTCTCTCAGATTTGAACCTAGAGTTCCTGCGCGTATTGATCAAAATCTCAAACACCGGCGCCATCCATATAATATTTCATTGTTTGTTTTGTTGTTGTTGTTGTTTCTTTTTTCTATTTTTTTCTACGTAGGTGATTTTACACCCCCATCCAATCGACACAGTTATTTTGATAATTAAGGAGCCAGGCTTACGACCCTGCCTGTTAGGGCCATCACGGGCTAGGAGTGATACATCATCCAAGCAAAAGCCACCCAGATACCCGATAAAACTATTTCCCCACTCTGGAATGCAACTCTGGTCCCCTGTTTGCGTCAACAGAGTGTCTAACCGCTACACCACAGAGGCCGGTTTGAACATCTGATTGACTGAAGTTGTCTTTATGCCATTCCCAAAGGGGGGATATTAACATGTTCTTATGCACAGTAGAATTGTAAATGGGCTTATTTATCAATGTCATTCTCATTCTGTGCCGGAACAACATTGGGGGAAGCTGCTGCTTTTTATTTCCTCATCTTTACCATAGTAATTTTTTCCTCTACTTCTTTTGTGTGTTTGTCACTCTCTGGTGAACTGCTGTTCCTGGTGCCTTGATAGTCCAAGCAGACTTTGTGCTATTGAGGCTATAGAGGTGAGCAGGGTAAGCCTGATTCCCAGTTTAGACTTCTCTGTTGAAATCCACCCCTTGGCGCTCATATTAAGACCTTCAGCAGTTGCGAGCGGCGTAAAACCTTACTAAAACTAAAGAACATCTGTGCCGCCGTGGGACGCTTGTTTTCTACACTCATGCCCGCACACAAACGTCGGACTGTCGCACGGGAGATTTCCCCCTCATCTCCACAGTCCGTGAAGTCTGAAGGGCTCTCGTAGACAATACAACTTGCGAAGTGAGAAGTTGTGTTGGATATGGATTTGCAATTTGTCGCTGAAGGGGGGATCGGCACTTTGATAAAAGCAACATTTGAAGTACTGGACAAAAATAAATGAATGTATAGATGGAAAATGAATGAAGATCATTTCTACAGCGCCCACTCCCGTGTGAACACAGCTATAAATGGAAAATGAAGAAGTCAAGGTGACATTGTGAAGTTGGTAAATGTGTTAGGCTCAATGGAAAATTTGGGTGTATATAAACACGCTAGAAGTGCTGTAAAAAATATAGAAATTAAAAGTGCAATTGTTGAGTCAACATGACACTTACAGAAAATGTATGTTAATTATAGATAGATAGATAGATAGATAGATAGATAGATAGATAGATAGATAGATAGATAAATAGATAGATAGATAGATAGATAGATAGATAGATATTATAGATATAAAACACTTAACATTGTTCCTTACTTCCTGAAGACATAGAAGTGAGTAATGACTGTTCAAAGTCTTGCTGTTTGCTTGAATTGCGCTCAGCCTGAAATTTTGAATGGTTTTGAATGAACTGCAACCTTATTATTAACCTTGTATTTCTTGTCCAATTTGTTTCTGTAGACAGTGAAGTTAATCGTTCCCACACAACTCTTTCTGAGTCAATAAAGCAAAAATCAATCTACCTTGTAAGTGTTTTGTTTTAATAAGAGTTTTACGGCGCTCGTAACTTCATCAGGTCATATGAACGCGCAAAAATCTACTTTGTAAGTGTCTTCAGTTTGAAGATCTTCCTGAATGTGTCCTTGTACCTGGAGCTCATCCTGTAGTAGACCAGGATGTTCACGCCAGAGTTGAGGCTCTCGATGAGGAAGGCGGAGGAGAAGAGGACCCAGTTGATGTTGGCGTAACGCCCGATGATGTTCAGCTCCGGCTCGATAGACCTGGCTGTCATGAGCAAGGGTACCGGGGTGAAGCAGACGATGAAGATCACCGAGATGGTGGTTACCATGACAACCACCTTCTTGTCTTTTGTAGGTATCTCAGCTTTGGATACGGCCGCACCGGAAGCCGTCTGTCTCCACTTGGCTTTCTGCACTAGCTTGACCCTGATGACCACAGTGCTCACCAGGACGACGGTGAAGGCGGACATAGGACCGGCGAAGTCTGTGATGAAGAGAGAGACCGCTTGGACCTCCTCCTTGTTGCCTGTGTAGAGGATGCCCACCATCGTTCTGTTCTTGTCCGGGTAAAACTTCCGGCCGAAGTAGGAGGTGCTGTACATGGGCACCATGCTGAGGAAAACCATGATGAAGATTGTGACGTTAACGCCGATGACCACCTTCCGGGTGATGATACTCTTCACTTTTAGAGGGAGAGACACGCACATACAGCGCTCGAAGGCCACAAAGGCTGTGATCCAGCCTGTGATGCGGGCGAAGCACATGTGGGGGAAGCCTCCCGTCAGCGTGATCATCTCGTCAGGGATGAAAGGCAGGTCCGCCTGAACGAACCACGGGTTCACGATGACGGCCATCCAGGGCAAGGGGAGAAGGGCTCCCAGATCGGAGATGGCCAGACTCAAGAGGCTGATGTTGACCGTGTCCGAGAACCCTTGTTTGGTGAACACAACGATGTTGATGATGTTGGTGGCGATGCCGAACAGTCCGACAGCCGCGCTCAGGACGCCAAAGTTCACCATAACGATGGCCGTGCGAGCCTCGCGGCTCAGAATGGGAGACAGAATGGAGGAGGCCGTGGTGTTGGTGTCTGGCGACATGTTGCCGGCTATAAGGAGCAGTCGAGGCAGCTTCCGTCGTCGTTTCAGGCGCAGAGATATTTCAGTGCAGTCACCTAAGGAAAAACAGAATGTATATTGTTTGTCTTACGTCGTTATATTGTGTTCCTGACGTCATTATATTGTGTTCCTTACGTCATATTATAATATTGTGTTCCTTACTTCATATATTGTGTTCCTAACGTCATTCATTGTGTAATATTGTGTTCCTTACGTCACATATTGTGTTCCTTACTTCATATATTGTGTTCCTTACTTCATATATTGTGTTCCTTACTTCATATATTGTGTTCCTTACTTCATATATTGTGTTCCTTACTTCATATATTGTCTTCCTTACTTCATATATTGTGTTCCTTACTTCATATATTGTGTTCCTTACTTCATATATTGTGTTCCTTACTTCATATATTGTGTTCCTTACTTCATATATTGTGTTCCTTACTTCATATATTGTGTTCCTTACGTCACCTATTGTGTTCCTTACTTCATATATTGTGTTCCTTATTTCATATATTGTGTTCCTTACTTCATATATTATCTTCCTTACTTCATAATATATTGTGTTCCTTACGTCACATATTGTCTTCCTTACTTCATATATTGTGTTCCTTACTTCATATATTGTGTTCCTTACTTCATATATTGTGTTCCTTACTTCATATATTGTGTTCCTTACTTCATATATTGTGTTCCTTACGTCACCTATTGTGTTCCTTACTTCATATATTGTGTTCCTTACTTCATATATTGTGTTCCTTACGTCATATTATAATATTGTGTTCCTTACTTCATATATTGTGTTCCTTACTTCAAATATTGTGTTCCTTACGTCACCTATTGTGTTCTTTACTTCATATATTGTGTTCCTTAACGTCATGTATTGCATTTCTTACATCAAAAGGAGAAGGTGCGAGCTGAGACGTGTGTTTACTGTTGTTAGGGACTTAATTTTTGAAAGCGGAAACATTCCCCAGCTAAAACAACTTTCTACCGTTTTAATAATAATAATAATAATGATAATAATAATAATAATAATAATAATAATAATAATAATAATAATAATAATAGTAATAATAAATGACATTAATATAGCGCTCAACCTCGATTAAAGTACACAGGCTCTGAGCGCTTTACAATACAGTACAACGTACAACAGTAACATAAAACGTTGTGTTCTGACTAAAGGAAAATTACTCCAAATATTCGTCCTATTAATTTAAAAACAGAAACGACTTCAGCTGACAATTGAATGAATCAAAAGATTTAATCATTCTTAAAGTACCCTGGTAAAGCATTCCAGATCTTGGGGCCTTGGTATTCAAATGCCCAGAAAGTCCAAAATAAAACTGTTATAGGCACTACGGGTATCTTCCCCTTTCTTCCACCTTTTCTGCAGATGCTATTTATAGCAGTCTATCTTTTCTTTTTCCAATTTCCTAGATATTATTATTTTTCAATTTGCCTGAATCAGTCTCCCTTGTTGTATTCATATTAAAATTGCATTTCTAGATAGCATTGACAACAATTACTGCCCGTAGTTTCAAGCGCGTTTTAGAAAGGAAAAAAATGATATTTGATTTCTCTGAGTGGAAGCCCCATGGTAATGGTAACTATCGACGTACCGGATCGGATCTTGACGTTGTACGAGACTTGACGAGACTTGTCCTGACGAATGCAACTGATGTACGTCACAACTTCCAGAGAAAATTGAGTCATAACCCTTTTCTCAACCTCACGCTATCACAAACTGCCCCAGTTTACATGACTATTTAGAAAATAAAGTCCAGTAGGTAGCAAAAATCTGAGCCCACAGTAAGATAGCACCGAGGTTCAAAATACACTTCTCAGCCTTTGCCACAGGTCACCACATATTAACTCCAGCCTCATATCTCAACTCGCAAGACCCAGGTCCTGCCTGCGTCTACATTAAAATTTACAGCACACATCAAGTAGACACGTTGTAAGAGACTGAAGTTAAACGTTTCAGAAACTAAACTTCTCATTATAGTCCAAATAAACTGTTAACGCCTTGAGCTACTTTTTGTGGAAATGCACTATATAAATGTTGTATATTATTATTATTATTATTATGATTATATATATCATTACAGCAGCAAACAGCTTGAACTTAAGCATTGAGAGCACAACAGCCCCAGTGAGCTGGAGCGTTCAGAGCGCTGCCGTCTCCAACACGACTGTTTAACAGTACAACAGCACAGAGGGTGAACGCTCAGAGAGAAGTTCTAGTTGACGCGGATGTTTAGAATACATTTACTGCTGGTATGAAATTTTGAAAATGAAATAGAAGCAACAGAAATGTGGTTTCTCTCTTAGGGAGACTGCTGTGAATATCGAGGAAGGGAAAGAAATCAAATGAGGTTGTGCAAGACGAAGCCCACGTGGGACGCTCACTGTTGAAAACAACCAGGAAACAACAAATACAGTTTGAGGACACATGAAGAGACATAAAGGTCTTTAACATCTAGCTTTCATTGGCAACATTAAAGGTAAACGAGGTAAGGGTAGTCCCAGAGCAACCTTCTTAGGGAACCTAAACGAATGGGAAGCGGGGAAAGATCAGGGAAACGTAGTTTTTTTTTAAAAGCATCAGAGCAAAGGAATGAATGGAGAACCATGAACGCTGATGTCTGTCCCAGATCTGGCACTGGATGATGGTGATGATGAATGTTCAGAACCCAGCAACTTAAACACGTCTCAGATGTTCAATGCACCAATATTGTCAGTAGATACGTTGAGTTGTATATTTAAATACTTCATTATCTGTATCCGCCAGGCATACATCAACACGACGTTTTCACATAGTAATTCAGAGCTGCTTCCGAATCGGTCAAAGCTCATGTCTTTGAAGCAGTGTTGATCAGTTGATTTTCCAGTTTGCAAAGTTAGTAAATTCAAAGAATTTACTAATGTAGAGGGGAACGCGCAAAATTATTTGACGACAGGTTCCCTTTTATAAAGACGACAGGTTTAACGATCTAAAAGAGGAAAACTGGTTTTGGATTTTTATTTAATGAGTTTCCAATGCTCCCCTGTAAAATTAGCCTGGAACAAGTTTCGGGTATCGATTCACCTGTCATGATTATGTAGGTCTACACCTACATACTGACAGGTAAACAGACAGATAGATAGATAGATAGATAGATAGATAGATAGATAGATAGATAGATAGATAGATAAAAGAAAAGACACTCTAACGAGCTACAAGCAGGCCTGTGAGTAGAAAAGCCACGTCTTGTACTCAGGAGATGAACGCCAGCTATAAAGTCAATGTGGTGATTGCAGCAATGCTATTTTGCAAAAACGTTAAAGAAAGCTTCCTTTCTTTTTTTAAAAATGAAAAACAAACTGAGCTAATAGAAAGCTATCCAGGTTTCTCTTCAAAATCAACAAACGAAGTTACAAAACACAGTCAGGTAAAAATCAACATTATTTATATGTCTCCATCGTGATATTTTGCCATTCTGACGATGTTTGCCCAGTTTGATCATATCTCGTCTAGCTCGCTCGACCTCACAGCAAATGTTGACTCCTCGACCCCCCCCCCCCCTCACCCTCCACTAGTCATTTCACTAAGGATCTCACACTTAGGGGAGAAAACTACCTGTCAATCGATCTTCACAAAGAAAGTATACCATGTCATTGGCAACAGAAAACGGGGAAAGGAATAACAATCGCAAAAAGATACAAAAAAGTGATAATGACTTCCCTAACACTTTCAACAGCTTATTAGACGCATAGATTATTTGATGGATCTACATGTACTAAATTGTTCCTCTTTATCCGAGAAATTCTGCCTCCTGAATTTGGCAGCTTTGGACGCATGTACAGAGTGACTAATTGAACTTTCTGTTTGCGACATCGTGCTTGGAATATAATTGAGAATGAAATAACAAGAAAAGACAGGAAGGTACCTCTAAAATATCTGCAATTTCATGTAATAAAGCTCTTGGGTCTAACTCCTCAATTGACGAGCAAACATCCTGATCGTCCACCAAAAAAGTGTGGCCCTCTATCGACCTCTGGGTCTCGCTGACTCAAGTGAGACATGTACTTTTACTGTTAATGGAACGTTGCACTTAAACGGAAAATTACTGCACTGAAAAGCAGTGGATCGAAACAATGTATTACTGACATGATCGTTTCGTCAGAGGTCAAACTGGTGATTGAAAGGAAGGGATAGAGTGGAGTACCTATCTAGAAGATTTACCGTCGTTTTCTGCGTGAATTGATCTTAGAATTGTCAGTATTGACTGTGTCTAATCTTTGAAACGTTTGTGCCTCTCACCACTTTATACCGACCTGTGGTGTCACCTGAAGCGACATGATTGTATTCACTCTGAACTTGCATTACTTTGCTTATGTGTATTACAATATGCATATCTCGATTATATACATATGTACATACATATTATACTATAATATACGTTATATATGTAAATCGATAGCACTCTTCATCGTGTTTTTGTCGTAGACAATTTCCTCCAGCATCGCAAGGTGACCAGCATGGACTGGCCGACGGTTCACCAGATCTCAACCCCACAGAACATTTATAGGATGTTCTTGGACGACACAGCAAGAGTCACAGACCCTGGCTCAGCGACAAGAATGAATTCTTTTTTTTTTCAAACTGGGAAGGCAGCAATACCACAGCTTACCTAAACAACGCTAATTCAATGCCCAAGGCAAACGTTGCATTGACAGCTCAAATGCTGATGTTGATCGCACGCGGATTTAAGCCTTTTATTTTTCCAATTTGGTCAGTGCGACTTTTCAATATTCTGGATTGCCACATTCAGCATTTTGAATTAGACACGCAAACACAAACATTGCCGAGTTCATACTGTTTAAAGCTTAACACAGAGAATAAATTATACTATGTACCAGACATTCTGGTTTTTTTTTTTAAACATTTAACTTAAAAAGTTCGGTACATTTAGAGGTTTATAACTTTAAAAAATGTATATTATAGATCTAATGTATTTCAATGAAATATTCAATTCTGCCCAGTGCAGTGCAATCTTTATTCA